AAAATAGTGCCGAATCAACTGGATATCTGCATGGTGTGGGGAAGAAAGAACCTTACCTCCTACTTCACACCATACAGAAAAATACATTTGAAATGTGTCATGGACTTAAGTATAAAAGCTAATGCTAAAAAACGTCTAAAAGAAAATACAGGAAAAAGGCAAAATGTCTTAGGACACAAAAGCATTAACCATAGAAAAAAATTACAAATTGGACTTCATCAAGATTAACGACTGGTGTTCTTCAAAAGAGACCATTAATGAAATGAAAATGCAAACTTCAAACTTGGAGAAAATATTTGCGATACATATACCTGACAGAGGTTTCATAATCACAATAAAGAACTGATACAACTTAGTTGTAAGAAATCAATAACCAAATCTTTTTCTAAAAAGAGGTAAAATTTGGACACTTCAAAAGTGATGATAAATAAATGGCCAGTAGGCACAGAAAAACAGGTTCAACATCATTAACAATTATCAGAGAAATGCAAATTAAAACCATCATGACATTCCACTTCTTACCCACTAGGATGGCTAAAATTAAAAAGACAATTCCAAGTGCTAACAGGGATGCAGAGCAACTGGAACTCTCACACATTGCTGGTGTGAGATAATATGAAGGCATTTCATCCACTTTGGAAAACTGACAGTTTCTTATAAAGTTAAGCATTCATCTAACTATGACCCAGGAATTCTACTCCTGGGTAAAGGCAAAGAAAACTGACAATATACATTCCAAAAAGACTCATACATGAATGTTCATTGCAACTCTACTTATAATAGAAGAAACTGGAAACTCAAATGTCTATCAACAGGCGACTGGATGAACAAATCATGGTATGAATGTACAGTGAAATACTACTCAGCAATGAAAAGGAACTGCTGATGCACCAACAACGTTGTGTTATGCGAAGGAAGCCAGAACATTCTCTATTATTATGTTTATTCCAAGTTCAAAAATAGGCCAGGTTCATCTGTGGTGACAGAAGTCAGTACCAAGCGTTGCGTGTGGCAGGGAAGAGGCAGAAGGGAACTTTGTGGGTTATGGAAATGTTCCAAATGTTCTACCCTGTATTGCAGTGGTGGTCACATTATCATGGAGGGTCTACTGATCACTGTTGAGTACCATCTGCCCCACAGCAACACTCTTCACCTAATGAGGGCTTGGACAACATGCTTCCCAATGACCGCGAGGTTCTGGTTACTCCTTGCTGCTCTGTACAACATTAAATACCTCGCGCGATATGAGGTGAAAAGGGAAGGAAACCAATTAACCACTCAGGCACAGGAAGGGGGCCGAGGAGGACAGTCAGAGGTCACCAAAAGGCCACCTCCTTCCCAGCCAAGCCCCACCCCACCTTCCTCCGAGTGGTCATCACACTCCCTTGGTCCGTAGACTTCAGCCTTCAAGCATCTTCTTCCTGCCTTGTCCCTACATCCACTCCTTTGCCAAATTCCATCTTGAATTGGTTCTTTTGTTTCTGTTCCCATGGCTGCCGCCCTAATTTTAGGCCATCTCCATCTCTCATTCTGGATTACTAAAAAGTGTCCCTAAGAGTATCACCAGGCCAGAGCAATTTTCATGTCCTTTTCCCCACAAGGAGGTTGCTGGACCACAGAGAGGATGCAAATTCCAATCTCAACCGCACGAAGGACAGCGGCTCAAGTGCTTGAGCACTGGTGGGTCAAACACAGGTTTGCCCAGAGCCCAGGCAGCCATAAATGTGCTTTCTTACGATCAAGCTGTAAGTGAGGCATTTTCCTCCTCTGCCCTTCACGTCGGCCCTCAAGGGTCTCCAGTATTGCTCTACTCCCCTCCTCTCCTGTCTGCACAAACTCCTTGGGTACCAGGAGCAGACCCCCTCCCTTTCCAGGCCTCAGCATCAGTGAAAAATCTCTTTGGTTTTCACTTTTTGATTTGCTTTTTGTGCCTAGGTTTTTCTTTCCTGAAGTTCAGCTATCCACATAATTCGTTTGTTCTTTATCCAAAATCTGTAAGAGTTTGTGGCAAGAGAGCAATCAGGTTGCCACATTCCACCCTTTTGCCAAAACTGTGCAGAGAATTACACAGTTAGTTTTGCAAATTCAAGAGTCAAAACGGTGTTTGTGCAGAGACTAGCTGAGTGGCACAGGGGACTTTATAACCAGGACTGGTGATCAACACCTCTGCCCTGGCTCGGTCACTACCCCCGGGTACAGAGGAGGAGGAAGGAGGCAGTTACCAATGACTCGATGGTTGAAGTAGTCGGGCAGCATCCGCTCACACACAGCAACCAGCAACCAGAAGGCTTCCTCCTCCTCGGTGTATAGCAGCAGAAGGGAGGTCAGGATGTTCATGGACTGCTCAGGGGGTTCGCAGGGGAGGGGACAGTTACTGACAAGGCCACACAGTGCCACAGAGACACTCAATAACACACAAGCCCAAGTGATCTGCAGAAGTCAAGACTGCATGAGAGACCCAGCGTACCCACCCACAGCGACACTGAGCTGGAACGACCACGGTGTCACCGTGGCCTCACAAGACACACCGGGCTGAGCGACCAGCCACCGCTCCATCCCTGAGCCCATGGTGTAATGCTGGATTGGGCTGTGGAGCACGCCTCAGGCTCAGATCCCACCCAGCTGTCTCTGTGTCTACGTTCGGACAGAGACACACACACCCACACTCACCCACTAATTTCGCTTATGCACAGGAGACAAAGTTTAAGATCCTGTTTTTAAGGGTCAGTAGCTTCTCTCACCCAGCCTCGTGCCGGGGTTTTATTCTGTGCTTGTTTACCACTCAGAGGATGTCTTACCTCCACTCGTGCATCCTGGAGGAAAGCGATCCACCCCAAACAGCTTTTTCCTCCCCAAATAGCATTTAAAAAAGAATCCCTATGACTCCTGTACCGTCTGGAGGGAGAAAGCTCCCACGGCAGCTTCACGGATACCGTCCTGCAGTGGAGGCCCGGAGACCGTGAAGACTGCACGGCCTCCCGTGGACAGAGGCCCAGCCTGTGCAACGCTCTCCCCGGGCACTGGGTAACGTTGCTCCTTCTGCATCATCAGCCTGACTACACGAGGTTGATTCCCTCCACACAACAGTCCTCGGTACAGACGGCTGAGAACACAGACCCGAGGCCTGGGTGGTAGCCCGGGACGGGGGCTATGACCTCCACCCCGCGGCGCACAGCTCACCTGGCAGTACCCGATTCTGGGGTTCCGGTGGGCATAGGCCGTCAGGACTCTCCTCAAAGCAGCGATCCCCGTTTCGTTTTGGAAGGCGGGGTGCTCCGGTAAGGAGCGATGCAGGTCCCGTTCTATCTCCTCCGTCACCAGGCAACACTTTCCCATGGACTCCTCCACCAGGTTGCCATAGTAACCGGGATGCGAGGCGAGGTCAGTGACGGCATCTGATGATTTGAAAGTAACGTTTCAAGGGGGACTGATTACCGGGAGAGAGTCCACATGGGGAGGGGCCTGTCCGGTCAGAGGACCTCAGCGGGGTCCTGCTACCTGAGGGACATAAAAAACAGTTTGAGACCACACACAACCAAAAGGAACTTCAGTTCTGCTAAGAAGAAAAGAGAAAAAAAGAAATAACGTGGCTTTTCTAAGAATAACCTTATAGAGAGGGGGAAAGAGCTCACACTAGAAATAGCTTTATTACTATGCTTTTAATAAGTTGTATTCCCTGGTAACAGAACTGTGTGTGTGTGTGTGTGTGTGTGTGTGTGTGTGTGTGTGTGTGTGTACTTTAGGTGGTGGGATTTTGAGCCGTGTCACTTTCTTTGCTTGCTGCTCCATATGAATATGGACTGTTTTTATTAAACACAAAAATACTGGGAGGATGATTTTTGTAAGTCCCCTGTATTTTATTAAATACAAAAATATCCTCATCTGACAGAGGAAAGGTTTCACGGGCATGCTGTTGGTGGGCAGTGAGAGAGACAGGCCAGGAGGCAGCGGGGAGACTCGGCCTGTGGAACGAGGTGAGCGCTGGGAGGAGAGGGACCAGTAGACACCCGCTCAGCAGCCCCAGCGCCCAGGAGCCGACCAGCATCGGGTCTGGGTCTGGGCCTCTCGGGCAGCAGAGGAGAGGGGCTGGGCGACTTCGGGGAGAGACGGGGAAGAGGGAGGAGAGAGGTGACCAAGGGGGAGGCCGACCGAGGGAGGAACAGGGACAGGGCGCGGGGAGGACGGGTCCCCAGGCCTAGCCTCCGGGAGAGCACAGCAGGGTCCCCGGGGCAGGCGGAGCCCTGGCCACCCCACCCCTAGCATCCTGAAAGGGGCAGCAGTCACACTGTCCTGGACCACAGGGCCTTCCCTTCTTGCTGGCAGGGCCCCAGCCGCTCCACCGCGTGGCACCAAACGGCTGACAGAGAAATGCCTGCTCGGAACGCCTCTGGGGACCGCGGCCCCAGTCTCAGCTCCTCCGTCAGCGAGTGTCCTGATGAGAGATGCCCAAGAGCAGCAGCAGGAGAGTCCCCGGTCCAGCGGTGCAGCAGGAGGACGCAGGCGGGAGAGAAAACCCTGCGGCTCTGCCTCGCGGGGACGCTGTGTGCCCTCCACAGAGGAGCGAGCAAGAGGAAGCGCGCACTGAGGGATTCACTACAACACACGCAACTGAACACCTTCTGAAGATGTGTTCATTTCCTCTACTTCAGGACTCACGTCCTAGAAAGACGCTGCACGTCAAGGGCGTCCTGAACAGAATTCTGGGGACAACGAAGAGACTCATAGTCATTTCTAAAGGAGACGCGATCCCTTGGCCAGACCCTGCACTGACCCAGGACATCACAGCCAACGTGGGAAGGTCCTGAGGTCCCCGGTCGGACACGTCACAGGCAGAGGGGACCCCTCTGCACACACACACTGCCCAGGTCGGGGGCCTTTGTCCCGTGTCCGCTCCAGAAATAAAAGTTGGCCTGGAGACCCCTGAAACGCTTACCAGAGAAAAGGAGCCAGAGTTTGCCGCGTAACGACTCGGGGATCCCCATGGCCACCAGCTTCCGGATCTTCTCCGTACGGAACATGCACACGGTCCTGCCGTACTCTACGAAGTGGTCGTTCCACAGTCTCATCTTGATCTGTTCTCTGGGCTGCAAGTGGAAACACGCTGCATGTACAAAGAAGGTCGTCCGCACCCTCCACAACCCGTCACAGAGAGAGGCTCCTTCTGCTGACGGAGGGACCAATGGTGACAGGCAATTCGCTCAGCAGATACTTCTGAACCTCCACCAGGAACAGGGGACCAGCCCTTCAGGGGTTCAGGGCCCAGTGGGAGCACTGACACAAATATTGATAAAACGCCCAGAGCAGATGGGAGGGTCGGGTAGGGCTGGGTGGGGAAGCCTCTCCGGATGCTGACACCAAGCCAGCTGCCGAAACAGGTCAGCTCAGAGGGCAAAGCGGAGCAAGGGGCTCTCGTGATTTCCCTGGAGCTTCCTGACAGCCAGGGGAAAAACCGCCAATCGGAAAAACGTACATTGTTCTCAGTAGCAGAGATGAAGAAGACGCGATGTCTCCAGGTGACTGAAAGTCCTTTGAAATTATGGATTTTTAAAATCCTTCAGAATTCCTAGCTGACAGGAATTTCTAGTGCCTTTTAAACAAGATGTTTACGTATGCTTTTAATTATCTGTATTCTCTAGTAATGGGAGACGTTTACAGAATACTGACGTTACATACACTCAATATTCTTACGCGTTTCATCGAGCATTCATTGAGCATCTCTGTAAAGTACATCAGAAGGCTCAGTTCTGAATGAATAAAGCTAACGATCTATGATACACGAGCCATTAAGCGGCCAAGGGGCAGCAATCATGTTCACGGCCACCCTGGTACTCATGGTCCCAACACAGCACCCCTCGTGCCAGGGCACCATCTCAGAGCACGATTTCTAGTCTATTTACCATACAGGCATTGCCCTCAGACTCTCCCTACAGAGGAGAAAACTATATAAATGTGACAAAAGTATTTTTAGTTCAGTAAAACTAGAAGACAGCCAGGGTACAAAAAAGAAACACTGTACCAAAGAGCCACACAGACACCACCGGATAAAAGGAGATAGACTTGTTCTGCACCCGGAAACCCCACAAGGGACGGCATGGACGGATGCCACCTGAGGGGCAGGTGGGGAGAGCCATGGCCCTCGGACGTCCCACCACATCCTTCACCCACCGGGATGCACTCTCAGGCCACTAGCACCACTGACCACTTCCCCTTTTCGCCAATGAGGAAAAGAGGGAGGCAAAGAGGGCGCATCACGTGTCCCCAGGTTGCCTGGTAACCTGTGCCACACCAGGCCCACCCTCCAGGGCCCGCGGGAAGCCACGCCCCTGACACCTCCGCCTGTGCCCGGCGGTGGCTAGGGCAGAGCCTCATCACCCACCAGTCTCGAGTCGGGGCTCTGGCTGCCCGACCGCCAGAAACCGGCGACCAGGGCCTCGGGGTGCAGCTGCGGGCTCATCTCTTTCTCCCTTTCCTCGCTATTTTGAGAAGACACCATCTCAATACGCCCAAACCTGTGGTCACCGCACATGCTTGTTGAATGAAACACAGACGAAGTCTGCATGGGGAGGAAAAAGAAAAAAAAAAAAAAAAAATGAGAGAGAAGTCACTGCCTTCGTTATAAGACAGTCTTTGTTTTGCCTTTGGATGCAGGAGCCTATTAACAAACTTAAACACGCCTCTCTGTTTAGGACTTCCGGGAAAAACAGACTAACATTAGACCCAAGAGATTTGATCCTCGGCAAGGAATATGGTCCACACGGCACCTTCCCGGCGAGGCTGCTCATGGCACACAGAGCACAGCCCCAGTGGGGTTGGGAAAGCACCATCGCGCCCTCAGTTTCCAGAACTGAGGATGGCCATCTCGAGAAAACTGCTCTTAGGTACTGAGAGACTTTCCCTCCCTTCCTTCTGTCACTACTTGGATGAAAAGAGGTCCAGAAAGAAGGCGGACGGGTGTGAAAGAATTAGGGACTGGGTCCCAGCAGATCCGGGTCTATATTTGCAGCTGTCCCATCTTAACGACAATGAAACATCTCTTTCGGCAAAACTTATATCCGCCCCCAAATAACATCATCCGCTCCAACCTCGGGGGGGATGGGGGGGGCACTGACCTCTCTAACCAGTAAAGAGGGTGTCCCCTCACCTGTGGGTTGATTCCCCACCAAACCCTCCAACCTCTGAGGGGGTGGCCTGTCAATCCCTCTGACACATGGGTATACCCCATCTATCCCTGTAAACCTGTCAGGGGGGCATCCTGTGGGCATCCTCCAACCTGTGGGTGAGTCCCCATCAACCCTCCAACCCTGCCACACCCACTCAGGACACCGGTGCCATCAGAGATGATACCACACCGTCTGCTACACGGACCCAATCATTGCTTACATTTTTCTGGTACCCAAGTGGATCATCGTTACGTGCACACCCCTTTGGAAACCCCTGGCCTCGAGGTGCTGAAAAAAAGGGATTTTCAATTTACGGGATCCCACAGTTTCCAAGGATCATACCAGGTCCTCATCCTGTGTGGTGTCATAGTGCACGGGGTGGTCGGCGTGCACCTGCTTCAGCCTCGCCAGCAGACTCTCCACCAGGCTGTCGCGATCCGTGAGCTCAATGAACTGGAAGGCCATCTTGCTCCTGATGCTGACAATGATGGGGTTTGGCAGCAGACTCGTGTCCTCCATTTTCTCAATGCTCACGACCTGTTACAAACAGTCACGCGCACAGAGGCACAGCAAGAGAGAAGACGGGCAGGCGTTTAATTGCATATTCGGAAAACATCCCGAGAGAGAAGGCAAAACCCAATAACTGCAATAAGGAACTGGTACGAAGTTAGAAAGTACGGAATGCGGCATAGGCACCACGGCACAAAGTGGGAGTAACTCAACTGCCCCCGGCTGGATGAACCAAAACGTGGGCTCTGCATACAATGGAATATTATTCAGCCTTAAAAGGGATGGATATTCTCGCAGGTGCTACAGTCTGGATTCACCTTGAGGACGTTATGCTAAGTGACATAAGCCAATCACAAAAGGGCAAATACTGTAGGATTTCACTGATATGAGGGGCCTAAAGGAGTCAGATTCATAGAGACAGAAAGCAGAGCAGTGGGTCCCCAGGGCTGGGGGAGGGGAACAGGAAGCTACTGTTTAATGGGGATAGTGTTTCAGTTTGGAAAGATGAAAAAGTTCTCGTGATGGTTGCACAACAAGTGTGAATGTACCCAGTACCAGTGAACTCTAACAGTTAAAAACGGTTAAAATGGTAAATGTTATGTATACGCTACCACAGTTAAAAAAAAAAAAACTACATAAGGCAATCCAGGATTTCTTCCTCCACTCATAAGTAGGAATATTTGTAAAATGAAGACACCTGCTGCAGAAAAATGGAGGTCAATCACATGAATGGAAAAATTGAGTTTTTCTGAACAGTACTCAGTTCATATGTTATAATAGCAAGAATCTGGAAGTCCTGACGTGTGACAGAGCCATGGGTCCTGTCACAGCCGACATGCCCTGAAACCACAGTACTGAGCCCATCAGATGTGGAAGCAGACTCCATTTCCAAGAACAGAATTGTAGAATTTTACAGTTGAAAGGAAGCATGTTTCTAAATTTTTACCTAAAGTTCCAGGAGGGTATAAAAACCAAGCAATTTGACATTTATTTTCAAAAGATGATGCTTTTTGTAAGTCCCCTTTTTTTTCTTTTCCCTTTTGTGGGTGAAAGGGAAGGATTCATCCCTAAGGGCTGTTGGAAAAGCTTTCATTGCTAAGCAGGTACTTTATAATAACAGCTTTATCAATAATGCGGAGGCCAGGGTGCCCTGTTCTCACCATTCAGGTCTATGCAAATTTCAGGTTGCCAGCCAACAACAGAACAAGCAAAGGCCCCTGGTCAATTCAGGCCATGCATCTCTCCAGCCCCACCCATCCTCGGTGGCAGAGCCTTGCAGTGTGAGCATCCATCCCCGCCAACGCCCCGTCTCACAGCAACCACGGCTCCCTGACAGGAGGAAGACAGGTCTACCTCTCGGAACGGGAGGATAACTTTGCAGCAGCCAGCTTCCTTGCTGGCAAAGCAGATGTAACTGTCGGAGGCGAACATCCGCCCGGCCGTGTGACAGCGGCTGAACGGAGTCCAGAGGGAGCAGTCCAGGACGGCGTGCAGCTTCTCCCGCCTCGGCAGCCTGAAGAAGGCCCGGAAGAACTCGTTCTGTGCCCTGGCTTCCAGGTCCCTGGCGAAGGAGGGAGGGGAGAGAGAGAGGCGGGAACAGTGACTGAACGCACTAGATTGTGGAGGAAAACACTCTTAACCCCTCGGCACAACCCGACATAGAAGGGTATGCAGAAAGGTCCTCCCCAGGGCACCCCCCCATACCCTGAATCTTGGCTCTCAAACCCAATCAAGCAACAAGGCAGCCAAATCACAACATTTAAAAATACCAGTGAATTTATGTCATAACCCAGAATTTTAGGAGGAAAAATTCCAAAGAACAGAAGTAAAAACTTGTCTTTGTCACATGAAATAAGCGTTCTAGGTTTATCTGATAGAATTAGACTTTGCTCAGAGTCAAAATACGACCCTGTAGCTTCCTTATTAACTGTGCACCCCTGGATGAGACTTGGTGTCTCATCCTGACATCTGTAAAATGGAAATAACACCTAAACTTTCTGCTTCAGGGGATCCCTGTGAATATATATATATATATATTTTTTTTTTTTTTTTTTCGGTTTGTGGGCCTCGCAATGCCGTGGCCTCTCCTGCTGTGGAGCACAGGCTCCGGACGCGCAGGCTCAGCGGCCATGGCTCACGGGCCCAGCCGCTCCGCGGCATGTGGGATCCTCCCAGACCGGGGCACGAACCCGCGTCCCCTGCATCGGCAGGCGGACTCAACCACTGCGCCACCAGGGAAGCCCTCCCTGTGAATATAAAATGATGTCCACAGTATTGTAAAAGAGAAAAAGCAGGTTAGAAATAGCATCTACGGTATGATCCCATTTACATAAATTCTAGAAAATTTGCAGAAAGTGACACGTAGAAAGACTTTCCCTAAAATGTTAACAGTGGCTATCTCCACATAGTGGGATCTCTGCTTTCCACTCTGATTCTGCTTAAATTTTCCACCTGACCACATATTAGCTTAAAAAAAAAATTAAGGTATTTTCTTCTAGGAAAAGAACAAATCTTCAAATGTTGCGTAAATGCAAGATATTGAACTCCACACCCTGGACTCCGCACGGAAGCCCAAGTGATTTTTTAGACACAGTCTGGTCGTGGAGCCCCTGAGATGGGACCTCACCTCCTTCCCACACAGATGCCTATTCCGCCCTAGTTCTCATTTCCAACCCAGACCTCATTTCAGACCCTCGCGCAAGTGTCTTCCCAGGAGACATCATACAGAGATGCGGCAGTCCACGGAATTTACTCTCCAAGGCTCACAAAAAGATACGCACACGTCCAGAAAGCCCTCTGGGCATACAGAGAAATGACACAAATTCCACAGATCGAGGTGGCTCCAGTCACAGTGCTCCAAAACTGCAGCTCCTTAAATACCTGCTACAACGTGGATGGCTGTTTCCAAGGGGGCTGAGAGGTGATGGATGAGTTAAAGAACTTGACTGTGATAATTATTTCACAGTGTATGCAAGTATCAAATCTTCGTGTTTCTAACTTAAATATATGCATTTTTATTTGCAACTTAGAGCTCAATAAAGCAGGAAGAAAAAGAAAAAACTTCAGAACTTCTCAATTTATAGACTCAATCTATAAATAGCTTAAGAAAAACCCCCTATCTTTTAGCTTAAAAAAAAACTTCTATATGAAAAACTGGAAGATACTCTTTGTGAATTGGTTTACACAAATACTTCCCAGTAGAACCTGAAACACAAACAAAAAAAATCAAAATTGAATTGCATCAAAAATTAAATTTCTGGGCTTCACTGGTGGCGCAGTGGTTGAGGGTCCGCCTGCCGATGCATGGGACGCGGGTTCATGCCCCGGTCCGGGAGGATCCCACATGCCGCAGAGCGGCTGGGCCCGTGAGCCATGGCCGCTGAGCCTGCGCGTCCAGAGCCTGTGCTCCGCAAAGGGCGAGGCCACAACAGCAAGAGGCCCGTGTACCACAAAAAAAAAATAATTAAATTTCTGCTTTTGAAAAGTGATGTTAAGATAATGAAAAGACAAGCCACAGGCCATAACAACTATTGTCAAGGGCTTCCCTGGTGGCACAGTGGTTGAGAGTCCGCCTGCCGATGCAGGGGACGCGGGTTCGTGCCCCGGTCCGGGAAGATCCCACATGCCGCGGAGCGGCTGGGCCCGTGAGCCATGGCCGCTGAGCCTACGCGTCCGGAGCCTGTGCTCTGCAAAGGGAGAGGCCACAAGAGTAAGAGGCCCATGTACTGCAAAAAAAAAAAAAAAAAAAAATATTGTCAAAAGACATATCTGGAAAAAGGACTTGTATCTAGAATATACCAAGATCTTTTACGATTCAATAGAAAGTGGGCAAACAATTCAGCTCTTTTTTAAATGGACAGAAGACGTTAACAGATATGACACCCCCAAAAAAGAGATACAACAAATAAGCAAATGTGTTCAATACCATTAAGAAAAAAGAGGAGGAGGGGGTGGCCTGAGCATCTTCCAGAGAGGAGCTGGGAGAACACAGGAAAGTGCCGTGGTTGCCCTAGAAGTTCGTGCTCTGGGAGAATGGGAGGCAAGGCCCCTCCAGGTGAGCCCCGACCCCTGAGAGCAGACCTACGTCCAGCACGTTTGACTGGAGAACTTACATCTTTGTCCTCAGAGTATATGCGGCTCCGGTGGAAGTGAGGCCAGTGCTTTCACCCGCACACGTCTGACACATGTGGCTGCAGCCACTGCCAAATCCAACTGCTGGCTCTTCCTTCTGGAAGCACATCCCCGCCTCCTGGGGAGATGGCTGGAGCCGAGGTGAGAACAGGGCAAGTAACACGGGTCACAGCAGCTTGTGCAGAGCTACAGGGAGGGTCGGGGGACTTACATGTATATTTACATTGTGCCCAAGCCTTCAGGCTAAGACTAAGGTGTTCAGTTGTCTAAGGCGGATTAAAAACAATCTTTTCTGTTCAGTGCACCTGCTGCGCCAGCCATCAGCTCGGTTCAGCCCCCTTCTCTGCAGCCTCGGCGCAGCTACACGCGGTGTCTGTCCTCCTTTCGGGGCTGTTCTCCCTGCCCTGTAGAGGTCTGTCTCTCCCACACTCCGTAGCCAGAGCCCAGTGACCTCAAGTTACCAAAAGGAAAGCAGCAGCGGGAGGGGGGGGACGCCTTTCCTAAATTATCTTCCTTCCTCCCTACTAGAAAGCTCTCTTCCAATCCCGCCTTGAAATATGAGTTATATGTGATATTTAATGTTCTAACGTAGCTGAGATGACAACACGACACCTTGAGAGATGGGGGACCCACAAGCCCCTGGGGAAGCCCAGCACAAGCCCCAACCCCACACCCCTGCCAGCCTTGAGGGCCCTTTCCCAGCGGGTGGTCGTTTTGACTCTAAATATATCATGTCTTCTTTCTGAACAGCAGAGAAACAAAGCCCACTGGTCACAACTGGCCTTTCGGACCTTCCAACGCTTAGTAAATATCTCCACTGCTCCTCCATACAGACCGCCAGACGCGGGTCATGACCTTACCCTCAGAAAGTGGCAGCCAATCCCAGGCTTGTGGCCCCAGCGGAAGCGCCCTGTGATGATGGAGTGAGCCGAGCCATCAGCCCCAGAGACACTGCCCGCCCACAGTGCTCACCCCTGGGGCGGTGGGCACAGGCCACAGAACAACAGGGGAAGGGGCCACTAGTCATCCAACCTGGATACATGCCGTTTTAGGAACCAGGAACCATGTGGGTTGACCAGAATACAGAGCAGTGGACACCAAGTTTGCTGTCGAAGACGAAACTAACATGTGCAATCAGACATAACAACTATGCAGAAAATTCTAGGCTATATGCACACATTTTAAAAATTCAGGGCCCTTCCCTGGTGGCGCAGCGGTTAAGACTCTGCACTCCCAATGCAGGCAGCCGGGTTCGACCCCTGGTCCAGGAACTAGATACCACACGCGTGCCGCAACTAAGAGTTCGCATGCCACAACTAAGGAGCCCATGTGCCGCAACTAAGAAGCCGGCCTGTCGCAACTAAGACCCGATGCAACCAAATAAATAAATAAATAGATTTTCTTTTTTAAATTTCAGGTGCCCATCCTAAGACCTCAGACCCGAGAAATTAAGCAGTAGGTAGTTCTTTTGTTTCTCTGCATAACTTAGAATGAGATTTTTCTTTCCTGGATTAGGTAAAGATGGATCAGAAACAGGTGTGGCTCTCTCTCTCCCCCCTCATAACCTTTTCTGGGAGAAGAACTGTGTCAGGCCTCACACCAACTCTTGCTCCCTCACATCATTTATCCCACAAAGACAAACTTATGTGAGTCTGCAGACCTACAGCTGCTTCAAGGCCCCATGCTTCCCCAAACTCAGGCTAAGAGACGGGCTGGGGAGGCGTGCAAGGACATCCCATCCCTGGAGCCACCTCCTGCCTTTCTGGAACACTCAGGGCTCTGCAGCCAGGCTGCCTCATGAAGAAACACAGAGACTGCAGAGGCTCTCGGTTATGTGCCTGCTGGTGCATTTCAAACTCTGGGAACTACCAAGGACCAGCAATGTAGAAACAAGGCAGAGAGGCCAGACACGTGCTTCTCCTTCCCACCCAAGTCTGCACAGAAAACACTGCCTTTCTCAAACGTGTGTTTATTCAAAACATCTTTCCCCTGTGATGCCCCACGAGCACCAATGAAATGACGGGAGCCGTTGCCACGCGGCATCTTGCAGAGAGCACACGGCAGCCCAGGACCTCAGGGGACGGGAGGCCAACCTGGCCCTCAGACAACGGGCAGCTGTGTGAAGGACTCAGCTGGCTCCACAGTCCCCCCATTTTCCCTTGAAAATCCACCCCTGGGGACCTGACAGACCAGAACTCAACAGGCCTGGACATCTATGAGGCTCTTCCAGCTGAGAAGAGTCTCCTGCCGCCATCCTCCGCTCTCCGTCCTGTCCCAGAGAGAGCCAGCGCCCCCTGCCAAGCCCGGAGCAGCAGGGGCCCTGCAGGGAGTGGGGCGCAGACTTCCCCCCGGAGTGCGGGCTGGGCGCTCTGGGGCTGCAGAAGCCCCTGGAGAGGACTCTGAGCCAGAATCAGGATGCAAAGTCAACTA